TTCAAGCCACCAAATTACACTGAGAAACTTGTCCTCCCTAAAATACTCATGGAGATTTGTTCAGCAAATGTTTCCAAGTCAGAGCACACAAGGAGAATAAGATCCTAATTCAATAAATGTATAATGCTAACATTTTAATCCATTGCTAAATGTAAATAAACTTTAGTGATCCCAGTTGGACTATTTAACATGTTTAAAGTATTTCATAATATAGCATTGTCTCCTCTCGTGGGGCAAAGCAGAAAGGTGAAAAATTATCTAATAAATTCTGTCAATGTACTCAGCAAAACCTGACAAGTCATGCCCCTCAACTCCCTTTATTTAGATCTGGGGTAAATGTCTTAACCCATATAACGACCTCCACTGGAGGTCCATTCAGGTGTGCACATCCATCTCTGTTAACATCGATAGAATGAAGAATCAAGCAACAGCTTATAGAATTAGTTGATATCTTACGCATTTAATCACAGATAGCCAGTCCAAATTGTTCAAATTTCAATGTCTTTTTTTTTTTTTTTTCTTAGCAGCTAGAAGGGAGAGCAACAATGCCTGGATTATCCAAATGATTAATTCAATTCTCTATTTTGCCTTCAGTAGACATCGTCTGCCTTTCTCTTTAAAAGAAACTGGTATTTGCATGAGGAAAGGAAATAAATGTGTTTTAAGAGGGCACCAATATACCTCAGTACACTCGATGTGTATCATTGATAATGTCTAACCACTGAGGCTGAGGACCTTCAATCCCCCTAGGGTGTCTCTCCAAGCCTTTCTAAATAGCCTTGGCCAACTGCTTACACACTTGGAGGTGGGGGAAAGGAAAGAAAGAAGGGAAGGAGGGAGGGACAGACATGGAGAGAAAGAAAGAATGAGGGAAAGAGAAAGAAAGAAAGAGAGAAAGAAAAAGACAGAGAAAATGGTTAGTCATGAAGCTGGAGTTTAAATTTGAGGGTATTGAAAAAAATAATTAACTACGAAAAATGGTTTGACAGAACAACTTATACTCCACCAATATCCCAGCAGTTTTCTAAGAGCCTAGTTGGATATGAAACTTGAGATCTGTCAACATTTTATAGTTGCCCTGATTTAATAAGCATTTTTCCTTCTTTTCTTTAACTGCCAAATTTTTTAATGAAATTGAATCTTGGATGCCTACATTCTGGGGAGTTTTATTTGCTATATTATAGTTCTGTCTGCTTTTAGGCCACAGAATGCCAAAGTATTTATTCTTACAAATCTTTCTACATATGTAATTTGAGTCTACTGAAATAGTCCTTTACCCACTTCATTAATTAAGTTGACAGAAAAGATTATTTTACAATTTTGTAGCAAATGACTCTTCATCCAAATTTTTGAATCAACGTTGTGCATTTTTATGTTATTTTATAGCCTATGCCTCCTCAAATCACTTCACGCCATCAGATATAAAACTTTCTAACATAAAAGATTAACTTTTGCAGTTGATCTGAAACCTCAACTACAGTAAAATATTTTTACCTCTTTCCAAGTAATAGTTGTTTTTGTTTTGTTTTTGTTTTGTTTTGTTTTTTAATTTTCACTTGCGGTATTTCTATCAATTCAACCTCAGACTTTTAGGAGATTAAGAAACAAACCTCAAAAAGTAGTTAGGCTAAACTGATTTCTATTTTCACAAGTTCATCACTAATATTTAGACACCACCAATGAGTCATCAGTCTTTTAAATACTCTCTGAAATCAACAAGCAATAAATCAAATGTAGGAATAAATGTCATCATAAACATCATGTATGTTTTTTGTAAAGAAATATACATTTACATAAACATGAATAAACAAAATATTTTATAATTCAGTACAAATAACTCTCATTACATGAAAGAGCCCCTTTTATCATGATCTTCCATAAAACTTCAAAATTTCATCATTTTGATTCCTTTATCAACTAGGACAAATAACACTTAAAGTATAAAATTCTGGTATATCATTTCTTTGCATTTTCTTAAAACAAATGAGCATTTGGACTCTTGCCAATGAATGCCAATGTATTCATTTTAACTGTAGTTCTTATTTTAACCAGAAAAGGCCTCTGAAAATCCAAAGATTCAAAATACCATTTCAAGAAAGCAAATAAGTAACATGGCATCCCATATTATACAAATCAAATACAATATATGCCTCAAATTTGCTTTTATATTTCAAATTATCACTAGATTACTGAATGTCTTTTAATGCATATAGAGGACCATAAGATCAACTAGTTAAAAATACTTTCTTTACAATAGAACAGAAAATAAAACTACTGATCTCTTTCATTGCCTCTAAAATTTAATTTTTGTTCTAAGACAGCAGTATGTAATGTGTGAAAAAAAAAGACAAAAAAAATAGGTACTCGGCTGTAGATGGAACGTTTATATTTTAAATATGCTGTCCATTTTATTTTATGTAAAACAAGTTATTTAAGTTCATATTACTTTTAAAGGGGGTGTGCATAAAATATTAATACTATGAACCTATTATTTACTGATTTCTGTGGTGTCATCTACAGTTAGCACAATTCGGATTTCAAAACAAATTTTGAAATTTTTTCAATATGAATAAGATTCACTCACTTCTTATTTTAAGACTATCTGTTATAGAACGTATTGTTAATCATAGAAGTTTGCTATATTACACATGGGCATGTTATATGCAAATGTATTCAGTTGGGGTATGTATATATTTTGTTATGTTATGTACATAAACATCTACCCTTGTGCATATGTATATTTACATCATGTATAAATATGTGTAGTATATTACCAAACTGTACTATACTTAAGGAGGAGGAGGAGCTTCCAAGGATTGCCATACAATATTTTAGTTAACTGAGTACTGTTTCCTGTGAAAGTAATTAGGTTGTTTTTTGTTTTTTGCTTTTCACAGTCCCAAAGGTGGGTGTTTACAGACATAGTTTAGTAATTCGCTGTTTTCCAAAAGGCTAGTTTTAAAATGTTATGTCAACATATGCTTTAAATAAATAAAAGTGATCTCCTCCTCTTCACCTTCCCCTTCTTTTAGGAAGGCCTATGGGCAAACAGCTTGATAAATAATTCAAAGAAAAGCTAAACCTTGATTCTAAAAACAAAAGCTCATCGAGTTAAACACTCACATTTTACCATTAACATTCTTGGCTAAAATTTACCTGCCTATAAATTATCTTTTGAAAAACAGTGATTGAAATTGTGTGAAGGCAGTAGCTGGGGAGGGCCTTTGGCAGAAGCTAGTGAGTGTGTCTAAATGTTACTTAGAACCTTTCTCTAGGACAACAGGTCCTATAAAGAATTATGGCTAACAGTAAAACCATCTAATATTAATAAATCCAAGACAGAAAAAATACATATCACAGGTATTTCCAAATTCGTGAAAATCATTAGATGCAAACAGTAGGGTAATCAAGGGGACAACTAAAAGCATGTGCTCTGTTTCTTTTTAGAATCCCTCTGAATCTCAGGTTATCAAAAATATATTTTGGCAACTGGGTTCATGGTCTCAGTGAGGGAGAGGAATGTTTAACCTTTTTCTGAATTTTTCTGTCCTGTTTCCCCTTGAGAGCAGAACAAACTTGGTGGGACCAGGGAGGGAGGGAGGCCTTGGTTAATGTTTTAAGAAGGAGGAATTTAATTTGGTCCAAGTTTTCTTCTGCTAGTTGCCTTTTCTCTTACAGAGAGCTCCTTGACAGCCCTTGTTTTGTATGAAATTATGGAAATCACAGACTGGGAAAGGGGAGTCATTTTCAGAATTGAAAAGGTATGAGTGTCTTTACTGGACCCCCTCCCCCCAAATTTCCCATCACTGGAAAGAAGCCAGTAAGTTGGAAAGGTGCATAGGAGGGCTAACACTGGTCAGGTAAATAAGGAGAAGCCCCAAAAGTGATTTGCAGTTGGTTCCTACCTCCTTCCTATCCCTCCAAAACTAAAAACAGCCTCTGCGCAGCAATTTTTAAGGCCAAGACAGAGAGAAAGCAGATACCCAAGTCCCCAAACGTGGCTTCCTGGTGCGTGAAATCCAGACTAACTAGCAGGTTAGATGATGGACATGCCCTAGGCTAACATTGTCCCTTCCAGCCTGGCTCACGTGGGTCAGGGGTGTCCATGAAAATGCCCGGACCACAAGGGGGATCTCTTTGGGAATCTGATTGGGAAGACTCAGGCGAAAGAGGGAAATGCCTGTGTAGAGAACCGAGGAGGGGGGCTGGGGGAGAGTAATCAGCTCTAAGGTTGCAGATTTAGATCTCAAGGCTGAAAAGGATATGCTTCCACCAGAGCATCCTGTAGCGCCTCCTGTCCTGCCCTGCCCTGCCCTGCGCGCGCACCGCACTCACACGCACACCCGTCCTCGCACGCGCACACACTCACACTGCTCCCCGCCGCTCTACCCTCTAGACTGCACGGGAAACGGCTTCTCCGGGGCGCGCTCACCGGAGGTGAGGCGACCCAGCCCGGCCCAGCCCAGCCTGGTACCCAGCGCTGGTCCCTGCCCCTGTGGGGAGGCAGCGCGGCCTTCTGGGCTCCGGAGCGCGCGGGTCGGGAACCAGGCGCGCGGCCGCTGGCACATGCGGGGACTGCCCAGGGCGGACCGGAGAAAGGGCGCGAAGGGGTTGGGGAGAGGGTGACGCCGGCTGCCCCCACTCCGCTCCGCGCCTCCCTCTGTAGCCCTCTTTCCCTTCTTCCCCTCCCACCCTGCCGCTCCCCGCCGCGTTTGGAACTCGCGTTTGGAAAAGCCACCGAGAGCCTGCAGGCTGGCAGCTGTGCGTGTGCGCGCCGGCGGCCTCGGACGCGGCCAGCGAGGGGACCTCGGCGCGGCGGGAGCGCCCCGGCCGGCCCTCCAAGTGCCGGCCTGCAGGGGGCGCCGGCGCGCTGGCGCCCCTCGGGGTCTCCGCCGCCCGCCTTCGCCCGGCCAGGAAGGGTTGGAAGGAGGACCCGGACGGGAGCTGGTTCCCCGCGCGCCTCTCTGGAGGGTCGGCGGGGCCCTGAGGCTGGTGCTCACCCGTAGGACCGGGACGGTGCTGTCACACTTGTCACCGACGACGGCCGGCGGGGCGTTGCAGTCCGCTTTCCAGTCTCCGAGGCTGGAGGAGGCCTCGGGGCGGCAGGGGGAGTTTGCCTCCCGGCGGGCTGGCTTCGCTAAACTCAGTCATTACTAAGGGGTTGGGAGGGGGAGCTTGTATCTTCTTTCCTGGCAGAGCCGCGGGAGGCGTCGGGAAGTTTCCTACCACTCGAGGGACGAAGGCGGATGGATCGAGAGCCTTGCCTTCCCGCTGGGATGGCCCGAAAGTACCAGAAGTCTCGCTGCCGAGCAGCGCCCTCGGCTTCCCGGGCAATCATCCCAAACGCACACCCTTCCCCTGGCTGAAGGAACCCCAGGCTGCCTAGGAAACGGCCCGGCGGACCTGGCGGGCCCTAGGGTGGAGACCCGGGCGGGGTTGGGGGCTACTCGCGAATCTGCTGCGGGCGCAGCGTCGGGGTGTGTGGTCCCTGCCCAGCCGGTAGGCCGCGTCCGCCTTCCCACTCGGTGGGGCTTTGCGCCCCCACCCATGGGAGTTGCCTGTTCTGCAGCAGAGTTCGAAGGGGAAAGTGGGGACCACGTTCCCAGAGGAACAGAGTTCCAGACCTCTCAGGGCACTGATGGGGACTCCGTCGGACCCACGGGTTCCGCAAATACTCCAGAGGGGTGCCCAGGGCCGAAGGTGCCTCCTGAGCAGACCTGAGCTTGTGAAACTCCGAATGGGTGTCCAGCTTCTTTTCTCACTTCAGAAGTTCAACTGAGCTTCGTGTAGTGTCTGTCCCCCACCCTGACCCGAACCCACCAGCCAAGCCGAGGCCAGACGTGTGCGGATTTTTTTTAAGACCCACATCTTGTAAATGTGAGATTTTTATCAGGCAGCACAGATTACTTAAAGCGTTCCATTTCTTCGCGATCCAATTTTATTAGGATTTACTCTCATTTGTGCTCCGCTTCTCTGGGGAAATAATGCTTTGATTAATGTAATCCTGGCCCGGGATCCGCCACATGCCCCTCGACCCTCTCCCAAGAGAAGGACCCTATTTGACAAACAATAACAGAGCAGTAACTCTTGCAATCTGCCCACACCTTTGGGGGTGGCTGGGGAGAGGGTGATACACGTTCACACGGTGTTTGCTAAATGCAATGGCGAGAGGAGGGAGCAGGGTCTACGTGAAGTGAACTTTTCAGGCTCAGAGCCCTGACTCCCAGCCGCGGGGGCTCACCGGGAGGGGCCCGGGCGAGAGAGCGCGTGGGTGCGTGGGTGCCTGTGCGCGCCTGCCCTTCGGTTGTTCGGGGTGTCCGCCTTTGTCCCCCCGCCGCAGGCCTCCACGGCGGCATCTGCGCGCGGCCGGTGGGCAGCCTCGACCCGGGGCGCGTCCACAGTGCCCACGCGCGACCCCAAACACCTCGAGAGCAGATCTTAGGGGTTAACCAGGCACCGACCTGAGGCGCCCTGCAGCTGCCAAAAGCTCGACCGGAAACCTAGAACATGGGACCCAATTCACCGGTTTTCCTCATCCATACATGCATCCATCCATCCCTGCATGCGTACATGCATGCAATACAAATCCCGGGACGCCGGCACGGAGAGCTGCGCCTCGCCCTTGCTGCGGGCTGAGAGCGGGTACCACCCTTCCAGCTCTTCCTCCTCCCGCGCAGCCCCGGCCCCCTCCCCGAAGGGAGAACAGCTCAATTACGAACAGGAGCCAAGGAACGAAATCCCAGGCTCAGAGGCGCCCGCCGTTGCTCCTCTGTTCCCGGTCCCTGTCGCGCAGTCCCCACCCCCACCGTCCCCAGCTCTGGGAGGGCGGGGACGCGGCGGTGCGAGGGGTCCTGCCCTGCTCCGCCGGAACAAAGCCCGCCGCGGGAGCCCGCGGCCGCGCACCGAATCAGTGACAAAGACAAGCGGGCGGCGCCGAGCTCCAAGCCTGCGCTCCTACGGCTTGGCGGGAAGGAGGCCCAGAAGATGGGGTGCGATTTGCACCCGGATTTTCCTGGGCTGCGGCATCTCGCTCCTGTGTACCCAATGACCTGTTAGGGTGACTCAGCGTTTATCTCCTCGCCTCCCTGCTGCCCCATCTCCTCTCTTGTCCTTTTCTGTCCCCAGTCTCCTTCACCGCTCCCTGCATTTTTTAATCCCCCTCACTCCTTGTACCTTACCCGCTTCTCACTTTGCCCTGTTTACCTCTTTCCCTTTTTCTTTCCCATAGAAAAGCAATGCTAATTTGACTTCTGAAGGCCGCTCTAGATGTTCAAATAACAGTCTGAAAGACCTTGTTGGGCAGTGCTCAGGGAGAAAAGGGAAGTAATGGGATCCTTTTAATTTTATTATGCAAACTGTGCTCTAAATAAAATAAAACGCCGTTAGAATGCTATCTAAGGAGGCCGAGCTTAGCCCTGGGGCCCCCAAAATCGCCAGGGATTCGGAAGAAGTCGCTTCTGGTGCCCACAAATCACAGGAACGGGGGCGGGGGAGGTGAGAGGAGGACCCAGCCGCTGTGGAATCGGGACCTCAGCGCTGGAGACTCCAAAGCAAACCTTTCTGGGAAAAGTTCTCCTCTTACTTTCTAACCCTGAAAAGGAATTGCTTGCCAGATCCCTCCAATATAATCATAGTATTTCTGAATTTAGGATACTTTAATAGTCAGTGTTTTTCCAAGTGAAGTTTTACTTGTTTGTTTTTGTGATGTGAATTAAAAATGAAGGGAATGCAGCCATTTGAACAATATATGCCTTGACTTCTAGAGGCTTTTTGCACCCTGATTTAATACTAAATTGACATTTGACGTGTATTAAATGGCACTGAAAGCCTGAGCTCCTTCCCTTGGGCTTTATTGAGCAGCCAGGCTCCCTACCAAAAATTCAGGGAGAGAGGTGAGCCTTCAAAGCAACATCAGACGCGTAACTTTTAACTTGAGACTAACAAACTCCAAGCTGCCTGAAGCTACAGTGAGCAAGGTCACTTAGCTCTACCACCAAAGCGTCTACCAGATATGTTTATGCTGAAAGTGTATCACTGCAAACCATGGTATTCGTAGTATCAAATATCAACGAATACATTCGGCACTGTATTTTCAAGGCGAACAACAATAAACACATTTTCTTGAAAACACCCCCGAGGCTGGCCATCCAGGGCCGGCACTGGGGTGTCTTAGGGCCTGGGGGAAGGAGCGAGATAGTGAACTGGGTGTTTCAGCATTCACTGGAGAGAAGAGACCACAGAAGAACAGTTTGAGAGGAATGCCGAAAAGAGCAGCCGTCAGCCTGACATGCTGCATCTGCACCCAGCTTCTCAGACAATAGCTAAGTTCAAATGTCAAAAAAAAAAATCTAATAATAATAATAATAATAATAATAAACAGAGGTGCCAAAGTGCAAGAATTGTTTTCTGGGATGTATGCCATATGAATCTCTTATCCACCTCCAGACTACCCTGTTCGACCCAGAAAGGCGATGCTGTATAATAATGTATGAGGAATGTTTGGCATAAGGAGCGTCCTCAGGACAGAGAAAGCTGTTCAGTTCTGTTAGGACCACCACAACCTCAAAGAATCAAACCACTTTCCTGGTAAAACTGAGTTCGTATTTCTGGATGTTGTTTTTACACACGTACAAGTACACACAAAACCCACCAAGCTGACCTTGGAATATTTTTCTAGCTAAGAAATGACCAAATTTTGTTAATGAATCATCATCATCATCATCATCATCATCTCTGGTCAATCAGCCCCGCTGTATGTTATCTAGCCCTATGAATTTAAATTTGAAGAGCATTGCACTCAGCAGGGAGGCAGAGAGGGTGGTGAGGGTACAGGCAGGAGCAGTCCATCACACTATGTCAGCTCCAGCTTCCCTGGCAATTGGTAGCTTTCATTACCAGACTTGTCAGGTGCACGCCCGCATGCAGCTCGAATGGGCAAACTGTTGGAAATGGGTTGTTTTAAAAGCATTCACTCGATTACCAACTTACTGTGCTTTCTTAGTTTATTTCCCCCAATCTGAAATGCCCTGTAGTTTAAAGCTGTCCTGTAAGTATCAGAAAGAAAGCTTCTTGCTTTCGGGTGAAAAATCATAATGTCTTTGAATGTATTACTCTTTGAAACCATTTAAAAACCTATGTACTTGCTCCTTTCCTGCAGATCAGACAAATCAGTTATCAAAATGATACAAATAATTAGGGGAAGAAACACTTCAGAAAACTTAGCAAGACCAAGAAACAACTCATCCACTGCCAAGACGACAAATACTTTTTTCCACCCAAAAGCTACCGTGGAAGAGTCGTCCCCTTTGTATATAACACAGAGTATGGGTTGACAGTATGCTTAACATTTTAATTTGTAAATGCTAATGGCAAATGTGCTTCTGAACTGCAGCGATATCAGAGCTCCTTATCATTCTCAAATGGAAACAAATGAGTAAATACCCACTTTGTGTTTTGCACATTTGACCCAGGTAATGTTCTTCATTCTCTCGTTTGGCAAAAGCAATTTCGCCATCCCCAACAATTAAAAGTCTGTAGCTTCGCCCAGCACTTTGAATCTTAATTCATACCCAGCTTGATCACTTCCACCCTCAAATCATTATAAAATACTGAAGCCATCTCTATAATACGTTAGTTCTTGTCAAATTAACTTGTTGCTCTACCCAGATTTCTTATTTTCTGTTTCTTTTACATTAAGGAACCTAGGACTATAGATATCATGAGGGGCAAGCATTTTATCTTTCTGTTTATTGTTTAATTACATTTTCAAAAAAAGGAAAGTAAGTAGCAGCAAGACAGGAACAATCACAGATCTCATGAAAAGTGGCACACAAAAATTATGCTCTAAATATATATAATGATTGCCTCACCAATGTTTTTTGCAGAATGTCTGGCTGAATTGAAAAGTTTCCTTTCTCCTTAATAATTTTTAAATGCATTCGGCAGCCCTGGGCATGCAAAGTAAGCTAGAGCTTTGAGACATTCGTCCACTTCATGTGGATCTGCCCCAGAAGTCTTTTGTCTGAAATGTCCCAAAAGCCAAAGAGAAAGCAATGTTTGGGCTCAAGTTACAGTTTTCTCATTTCTCCCTGTTTTATTAGCGCAAACCTGAGAGTACCTTTCCTGACTCTAAATGTGAGAGCTCAGGGTGAAAATAACAGATTAAAATGTGTTTGAGTGTGCCCCTTTTGCTTATACTGTTCCCAGAATCTCTTGACCCTCCTAGAAAACACACCACTTAGATCCAAACTCTGACTTACTAAAGTTAGTGTCAAAGAAAAACTTCTCCTGCTTGGAACCCGGTTGACTTGGAGCTGGGTTAGAAAGAATAAAGTGTCTTTTCCTCTCTTGCACAGGAACCTGAGAGCCATCACATAATGTGGCCCTTACTAACAGGCTC